GACCCTGCTCCGGGGCCAGATGACTTTCCACCGGGGGGCAGGGACGAAGCCAGAAAAAAATTTAGGAGGGGCTGAACAAAAGAATAGAGCATTTTTTATCTTCTCTTAACCTTAGCGTCTCCTACCTAATACATATATGTATAAAAATTTAAGAGAGGGTTTAGGGGGGCTCCACGTGCCCAGGATCGGTAGGGGGGCTAGAGCCCCCAGCCCCACCGCTGGCTCCGTCACTGCCGGGGGGACCTTTTGATCTTTTTGGCTTTGGACAAGCTGGCCCCGGCCCAGCTGCTCTGCCAGATCAGCAGATTGGCCCATGGGAATTGCGATGTTATCATGCAAAATGCACCAACCACACCGGCTGCAGCTGCGTATTTGATAACTATATTGCTGTCAATAATTTAGAATGAAGAGAATAAAATTTCAATATTCTAGCAAGCACACATATATTTAAGTATCCTAGAAACCCTCACGACAAATTGACGAAGAACGGGCCTACTTTGGCTTGCGTGGTGAGGGTGTTGGGTAACACGCTGTGGTCATGTTCTCCCCCTTGGTCTTCGTCCCCACGTCCCCACCGGATGGTGATGGCAACCCATGGTGGGATGGTTCAACAACTACTACCTCTGTCTAAAAAAATGCAACTACGCGTTAAGTGCCAGTTAAAGTGGTTCATATTTAACCAAGTTTTTAGTGATATTCACATTTATGACTCCAAATCAATTTATTATGAAATTATATTTCATAACTAATCTAATAATATTTATTTGATATATTTTTTTTTATTTATAACTGGTCAAACTCAAGATACTAGAACATGACATTTGTTAGAATTGTATTCTTTATGGGAGGGATGGAGTATATATTATAGGATAGGAATATTCGTGGGCATTTTAGGCTGTTCGTTAGGTATTTTTTGTTGAGCAAGCGGCGTTACTGTAACGATAATGCTTATTAGCGGGCATCCGTCGTCCCGTTTCAGACACGGCTAGCTGGGCCGAGCCACCGGCCCACATATAGAGTTCCTCATCAATGAATAAAATAGCGGGCGACGTCGTTCCTCATTCGCATCACTGCTGCGAGCTCCTCCACCGCACACCGCTTCTTCTCCACCGCTGTGTTGAGACCCTCTCTCTCCCACTCCATGGCGGCCGCTCCCTCCCCCCCACACACACACTCCATGGCGGCTCGAGCAAGCCTCCTCACCTCCCCTCCATGGATCCAGCCACCGCATCTTCCTTCAAGTCCGGCGGCCTCCATGGCATCCCCTCCCCCCACTCTATGGTGGCGGCGGCTCCATTGAGGTAGGTCGTTCCTCCTCTAGATCCGAGCTCTCCTTCTTCTCCTCCTCCTCCTCCTCCTCCTATGGATCTGAGAGACGCTACGGTGGCTAGGGTTTCGGCGAGCTCGGGGGTCCTATTCCCTCCTCCCTCCGGCGAGCTCGAAAGTGATGGGCTAGGGCTGGAGCAGCATGCACCTCGAACCCATCCCCTTGCTGTTTGTACGTCATTTGCTGTTTTTCCGTGTTGCAATGGGTTTTTTTGAGGTTGCAACATATGATTTTAGAATGTTGCAATGGAATTTTTGGGTTGTTGCAACAGATGATTTTTGAATGTTTCAATTTCCATGTTTCATGGTTGATTCTTGCGATGTTGCAATACTACTGTTTGAGATGTTGCAGTACATATTTTTCGATGTTGTAGTACATATTTTTTTATGTTGCAGTACATGTTTTTTTATGTTGTAGTACATGTGTTTTTGATGTTGCACTACATATTTTTGTGATGTTGCAGTACATAATTTTTTATGTTGCAGTACATGTTTTTTGATATTGCACTACATAATTCTACGATGTTGCAGTATTTATATTCAAATGTTACACTACATTGTTTTCATATGTTTGCGATGTTGCTCTTGAAGTGTTTCGTGCTCTTGGGAGGGGGGGCGGTGGGGAAATGGGGTGCTTTGGGGAATGGGGACAGGGGCGCGGTGGGGAATGGAGGACAGGGATGCGGTGCCGATCTGATTTTCTATTCGCGTTGAGGGGGAGCAGCATTTGGGATGGGGAGCGGTGTCTGGATGCATCTGACACGCCAGACATCCGGGCGCTAGGATAACCATTACCGTAATTATGCTCCTCGGCTTGTCGCTGTCTCTCCCATTGAGTTGCGCTCCTCTGGTGGAACCTTCGTCAACGGTCAGTCTGGCTACCTTTGGGCTTCAGGATCCACGAGCCTGCCAGCTAACACCTCCGGGCATGTCAATCGTCCTGCAAACCTTACGACGATCTTAGAAGTGGACGAAGGTGCCCTTTGAAACCCACCAGATTCGGAGAATCTGGATAAAAAAATCATAACATTTTTTTTTGTTAGATTTTAAGATTCTAAGAATTTAGAGTTAAAATCTAGACTGTTTGGATTAGATATTAGGAGTCTAATTGGTTGGTTGTCAAAACTTAGGCAAGCCAAAATTTTGGCAGCCATTTAGTTTGGTACTAAAATTTATCAATACCTTACAATTGGCACGCCAAATCCATGGCAAATATTTTTGTCCAAATTTTGACAACTTTTTCTTGCCAAAACTTGAGCATGGCACATTTTGGTAGCCAACTATTTTTTTATCCAAATGATTCAAACGGGACCAAGTGTCCAATGAGGCCATTTGCTTCTTGGGCGTGAGCCCATTAGAAAGGTCGACTTTATTGCTCATTTCGCCTAACATAGTTTCAAGAATTATAATACTCCCTCGATTTCTAAATAAATCAATTTCTAAAGTAGATAGTCTTGACAACCAAAGGGTAAAGATGTTTTACAAGTCATAGGAATCAAAAGAGCCTAAAAAGGCTATTTATTTTAGTTTTATGACTTTTTTTTTCTAGATATCACCGTAGCGTTGCTAGCACGGACAATATACTAGTAAAAATAGTAACAAGATCTATGACACTAAATTAGTATTACATCCACCATAAACTATATTTTTACAATATACTCATTTGGTGTCACAAATATTTGTACATTTTTCTATAAATTCAGTTAAAAATAAAAAGTTTGAATAAATAACATAACTTTAGGAATTGATTTATTTAGATACAGAGAGAGTAAGACTGAAATTTCCCTCACGCAGCTCGAATCCCCAAATCACATCTCAAAACAGACCGACCTGCAGACTGACAGTGCGTGACGACAAAAAACACGACGTCACTGTTATAAATATTTGTACAAGGATGATTTCATTTCTTATTGGATTAGGAACACCTCGGCCAATCAACCATGCTCGCACCGTCGCACGTAAAGGAGACAAAGGCCAAATCCACTCCAAACCGGCCCAAATCAGAGGGATGCATAGAGGCCCAAAGCAACAAAGCCAAGGAGGGCCAACCCACCAAAGCTCAAAGATTCTCCGCTGCCTTGTTGTTGAGCACAATGAATAGTTGAAGTGTTCTATCAGCTGTGACGTACAAATCACTAAAGATCGCAAGGGTCAAAACGATGCATTGATATTAATTGTGCTAAGTCAGTGGGATCTGAATTTAACTGAATAAGACGAGCGTCTATACTGGTTTTCATCACTTTCAAGCAGCCGATTCTTCTCGTGAGCTTATGCCAGACGAGCGTCTATACTGGTTTTCATCGCTTTCAAGCAGCCGATTCTTCTTGTGAGCTTATTCCCTCACCAGCTTTCCTATTCCTGCAAGTGGCCCTTCGTTTCTACCCAAACCCAACCAAGGCGATTGGAGAGGATTAGAGGCAGGGCCGTCCCAACAATTTCTAGGGCCCTTGGGCAAGCAAGACAATGAAGTCCTGGCAATCTAATATTTTAATATCACGAGATTGAACTATATAGTACTACTGGTAATAAGAGTTAACTCGCACTCGCCAAAATATAGTTCATTAAAAAACGACATTACATCAAAGAAGCTTAAAGAACGGTGAAATCACAGTAACATGAAATGACTTAAAATTTAAAACAAATTATGGGCAGCCTGCTGCCTGTGGCATGTCCATAAGTTCCTTGATGAATTAAATAATTAAACTAATAGATCAACAATTCGCTGCACTATCGCTTGATGCATGTATGTATTGGATTGCAAGGTAAAAAGAAACTGAAGTTTTCAGATCGAACAAACAATAAATACTGATGAACTAAAACCATAATCACTTACCGCAGAGAGTCGGGGACAGGGATGAAGGGACTGCAGCGTAGCTGGGTTAGTGGGCGCCTGCTGGGATCCCAGGATTCCAGATTACGGAAATCGGGATTTCAGGATTTGGGAACGCCGGAACAGCCGCCGCGACGCAACAGCATGCATGCTTTGACGCGGAGTCTCGAATAGGAAAGGGTTGCCGCGCAGAGCCGCAGACTGAACTGGACGTGACCGTATGGAGCCAAATACATGTACTACATATACATATACTCATGGGCCCCTAGTGCCATAGGCCCCCGGGCGTCGCACTGCCTGCCCTCCCCCATGGGACGGGCCTGATTAGAGGAGATTGAAAGGGATTTTGACTTGTAGAGGATTAAATCCCTCTTAATCCCCTTCAACCCCTTGTTTTGGGTAGAAACGAATAAGGCCTAACGCTGGAATCTACGCTGGAATTACACTGGGAAGCAGCACCATGCACAAAGATATGCTCCACTGCCTCGTTGTCGAGCACAATGAATAGTTGAACTGTTGTGACGTACAAATCACTAAAAAGATTTCAAGGGTGAAGACGATGCATTGACGTTGTGCTAAGTCAGTGGAATCTGAATTTCTGACTGAATAAGACGAGCATATATACTGGCTTTCATCACTTTCAAGCAGCTGATTCTTCTCGTAAGCTTATGCCATCATCACCAGCTTTCCTATACACCACCATCGTTGTGCGTCATTGAGGACATCGCTTAGCTCTCCGCGGGGAACTCCTTGTCGAGGCCCACACGACCCGCTATGCGCCAAAAGACTAGTCAGGTTGGACTGCCCCCACCTTATATGTCCACCATCAGTATCTGTAGTGGGACTAAACCCCAGCATTCTCCTCTTCCGCTTCCTCTACGCCAGCGCCACCTCCCCTCTCAGCGTCCTCCGTCGTCTCCGCCATGTCCTCGATGCGCGCGGCGGCGGCCTCGGCCTCAGCGTCGCAGTCCTTGAGCATGTCGTCGGCGTCCACGGTGCTCTCGGAGCCGAGCCCCTCGGTGGAGAGCAGCAGCTACGCGGAGCTCTTCCTCGTGCAGAAGCTCGCGCTCCTCTTCACGGTGGACACGCCGGTGCTCGCCGGTTTCGGCCTCAGGAGCGCGTCCAGCGACGAGTTGTCGGCGGCGTCAAGCGCGAGCCACGACGCAGCGCGTGGAGGAGGACGAGGAGCCGGCGACGGGAGGACGCTCTGCTTCTCTTGGAAGTGAAGCTCGCCGAAGATCTCGGTGAAGGACGCCGGGTCGATGGGCTTGTTTGGGTGAACGTTGCGGTGGTTCCACGCAGACAGCGCCTCCAGCAGTGTCGGGTTCTCCGGCAGCGGCTTCTCGAACAGCCGGCTCAGCCCGCCGTCTGCGGCCATCGGCCCAGGCGGGCAGCCATCAACTGCTTCTCTCTCGATAACATGCACTGTGAAGACTCAATACTGTACAAGCGAACAAAAGTTTTGTTTTCTGGCTGTGCTCTTCAGAATACAATTGTATACATGCACTGCGAAGACTCAATACAAGTGAACAAAAGTTTCAGTTTTTCTGGCTGTGCTCTTCAGAATACAATTGTATACGTGTGGGTGTATTGTATATGGAGATGTGTCACTTTATTCACCTGTAACTGCAATGCAATCGATTCGGGTATGATGTCAGCGGTGAAGGATTTGCAGGACAGCTTGAAAGTGTGTGACTGTCAGCTAGACTGTAATATTTGTGTCCTTCTGACTTGTGTTGAGAAGCGTATAGACTAGAAGAAAAGTAGAGGTGGAGAAAGACGCAGACTTTCTGTGGCTGTGGAATTGGAATATTTCATTTCACAAGACACGAGTGGAGCTGCCACCGCAACTTGAGAATATGACTGTCACTACAATGTAAGAGAGCCTCCATTTATCTATTACAGTCACTGTAACAAGCACAGGTTTGAGTGTTCAGAAAACAGCAAATCAGTCCTTGCATGCAGGATACATACACTAGGAATGCGAATTTGCAGTGAAACAATGCAGGTGTCTTTGGGCACCGATTTGCAGAGCAGGTCAATGACAGCTTGCCTTTTTTTTTTACAGCAGATCAGCGCTCACCCACTCTCCAGCAACAATGATAGGCTGCTTCAGTGCTATGATCTGTAAGCTCGAATTGATCTGTCCTCATGAATCATGATAGTGAGCATGCAGTTGCATGTGTCTGGCTTGAGAAGATTATATTCACCAGGATGGGAATTCAGATAAGACCAGCATATCAGTTCTAGATCGCGTGACATATACGTTTGGGAATGGAAGTTTCCAGGGCGACATTGCAACTCAAAGAGGCATCTCTTCATGATGGGTTATCTTGCACTGGCACTTGTCTGGCCCGAGCAAAGTATTTAAGCTCAAGATAGGTTCAGCACATACATCTGTCTGCTCAAATTCGATTCTGATCTCGAGTGGCGCCAAGAAACTTAGAACATAGCGATGGCAGCTTGGCAATTTTCGCCGACCAGTAGTGTACTTGTCACTAAATAACAGTATAACACTGATGTTATATCATCATGAAGAGGGAATAAGGTCTTTTCTGTCTGAAGTTTCTTTTATGAACTCTGAAGCATTGCCTCATTGTCTGAATCTGAACGAAATGCCAATCGGTTGCATCGTGCATGTTTACATGTGTGGTCTTTGTGAAAGGCTAGGAAATCTGGGCCGTTTGGATCCTTGAATTAAATTCATTCTAATAATTACAATTTAGGCATAGATTAATTAAGCTAATATAGTTGTATATGTAATATATTTATATATTTATTGTTAGGCATACGAGGGACATACTTATATGTTGCATTTCTATTGTAGGGAAGTGAGTTGAAGAGTGTGCTATAAGTTGGAGAATAGAATTATAGCAGGCTGATCTATAGAATCTATTTTCATCTCCCACCTTATGAATTTATGATAGGCTTATTTGTGAGCTTAGGAAAGTTATGGAATGTCAAATTCCAAGCTAAATAGTCCAATCCATTACGTAGATTGCAATTCCTTCAAAATGAAGGGATCCAAACAGCCCCTTAGCGCCAATAAACCTGTATCTAAGAGAAAAGGACTTGAGAGAAGACAGAATAAATCATTCCGTACTTTTATGATCGGTCACTCCAGCCAGCCAGCACAGAGTAATGGGTGTTTCAGAAAGCAGTACTGGCTTGCATGACCTATAGGTTATGAATGGGAATTTGAGCAATAATGCAGCTCGAAGTGGTCTCTTTGTACTGGGCAGTGGGCACAGATGAGCCATTGCTTCAGTATTCTGATACAGAAGTTGACTTGTCCTCCATCCTCATGGTGGTGATCATGCATGCAGTGGCATTTGTCTGCCCGACGCAAACCATACAGCTCAGGATTGAAATTCAGATGTGGTCAGCAAACCAATAAGTCTGCCCGAATCAGACCGGAAACGTTTCGTGTACAGCTATTTCAGAACGACTCAAGTACAATTGTGTATCTAATTGCTTCTTAACATAAAGATACACGATTTTCTCCGACCGGCAGTGTACTTCTCACAGACAATAATGCAGTGTGTTGGAATATGGAGCTCTGAAGCACCGACAGGGAATAAAGGATATGACAGACACAACAAAGAGCAGTAATTCTCCCTATTCGTAGCTGAAAAGGCAGAAATCAAAGGTAGTGACCCGTTTCATCCTATATTGCTTGAACTCTGAACTTTTCTTTAAGAAAAATGTCTAAACCTTGCAAATCAAAATTGGCAATTGGCGGGTGGCTGGCCTGTTCACATTGTTTCTTGGCAAGTCAGAAGAAAACAAAAAATTGCCTGGATTGCGCGAACCTGTAAACGAAGAAGGATGGAGAGAAGGCACAATAAAGCAACATGGTGAGTTACAGGCAATTCAGCATAGGAAAATCATACTGTGTAAGTGTGTATAAAGATAAAAAAAAAAATGAAAGCATTGGAACATGGGGCCAAAAATCTTATTTCCAAAAAAAAATGAAACGAGAAAGATCAATGTGAGTGGATCAATCCATATTCATGAAGGGGAAACATGCAGGAGGTACAGGCAGTAAGGCCAGCGCAAGGAGTGGACCATATTCATGAAGAGGAAACATGCAGGAGGTGCAGTAAGGCCAGCACAAAGCAGATCTACTTGAACTTTCAGGCACTTGATAAATTAGGCATCAAAGAGATTAATGTACAAAAGAAAGCACCAGCATCTTTCATTGACTCACAGAAGTAACCATAAGAAAGATACAGAAGTTAGTAAAGACGCGAAGATCGAATCTCAAAATACCATGACCATGATACAGCAAGAAATGATAAGCTCATAGAAAATGCAAAATATGCAAGCAAGTAGTTCGGGGTGCTATTTTCAGGAAACACTGGGTCAGTCATCTAGTACACAACAACAATGGAAATGAAATGGCTTTTGATTTCATCTCCATGCTTCGATCCGCTCAACCTTCGAGTTTATCCGGCTCACGATGCTCGCACCTCTTGATTTCTCAGCTGCAGGTGCGGTGCGTGTACCAGACTGGCCCTGGCCTTTGCCCTTTCTAGTCCTCCTCCGATTCAGGCTTCGGCTCCCCTTGCCTTGAAGAGAATGTGTAGCTGTCGTGCTGGAAGCATCAGCAATAGCAACTGGGCCAGCAGTTGCAGGTTGTGAGCCACTAGTGGAGTCCTCCACACTCGTTACTACTTCACTTGTCTGGGCAGTGAAAGCAGCAGTGACTCCTAAAGTGGTATTAGTTTCATTAGACTTATCATCAGTGCTGTGGGCAGGACTGTTCAGAAGGGGCTCTTCCTTGGCAAAAGAAGGGCGCCTAGATCCTTCCTCAAGGAGAGAATCAAGTGTCACGCTGGGTTTCTGATGCCCATTTTCATCAGATGGGTCCTTCTGGGGCAGCAAAACATCCTCTGGAGTGGACTCCTCTCTATCCTTGAGAGTCTTTTGTACCAGCATCTTGAGAAAATTCATCACTTGGACTGCATACATAAGTGCAGTCAAAGGATCTGCCATCTGCATTGTAAGTGTGCTACAGTTAGCATGCCTAACCATTTCATTGCTCGGGGTGAGGTATATTGCTAATTTGTTAATTGCTATTATATTAACACAATGCAATACCTGAGTCATATTTGGTGCAAAAACCATAGCAATATTGCGATCATTCATCTTGTTTATCTGTTCTTCTTGGACTACATCAGCCATCAGATTAACAGCCCAGTCAAGCAAAGCTGCTTCAGCTGGTGGAAGGCATTTCGCTACCCGAGCACAGTCCTCTTCAGATTGGCATTGCATCACCTGTTCAGGTGGGATAGAGTCCAGAACCCCCCTCGGCATTTCTCTAAACCAGGCCTGAAAAGAGATGAAATGTTAAATTGGATGAGAAGTTGAGAACATGCTTTTGTCTTGCCGAGTAAAGTGACTAGCTCGTGAGCATAATAAACAGTTAATGTCAAATAAGTTGACCAAACTCCTTGCCTTCTCCAAAAGCAAGATCATACTACAAAGGAATATTGCTAAATGGCACGATCACAGATCCACAATCACAACTTTGTATGCATTGGGAAGAAAAGGTAATATCATTGCACAAGAAAAAGAGATGGTCAAGAAAGTGAAGTTTGGATTCTCTGGCAGGCGTTGACTTGAAATTCCACCATGATCCTTAATAACTCTCTACTTACTAGACAGGTGATTAAGAATAAGATGCTGCCAATAGAATGATTATGATTGTATAAGTAACATGAAAAAGAAATTAGCTTACTTTGATTAGACCTGCCAAACAGTGGACATCAATGCCATCCGGAACAATTCCACTATTTAATTGGTCTCTCACAAACTCCTCCTGGCTGTTCTCTGCATTTATGCGGAAGATACCTTCTGCCTGAAATACAAAATAAGGAAACACTTATTTGATCAGAACAAAGCTTCCAAACACTGAGGGCAACAGACTAAAGAATCATAGGAGATCCAAAAACACGCACCTGAAGACCACCCTGTTCATAAAGGCGTCTCTGCATCATCAAGAGGATTGTTGGGACACTGTTTCCTCTGGAATCATAGGAACACTGCATTGATTCTGTTGAAACTCCGAAGACACTTGCACTGCATATCAGGTTTTAATCAGCCAATGAACAGGATTAGCAAAAGTAAACTTGCAATGGAAGTAACAATTTATGTTTTCAGAAAATGCATATTAGCACTGAAAAACGAGCAAAATAGATGTGACTTGCAAGGTTCAGGATATGTCCACATGAACACGAGCACCATCCTTGATGCCAAGGCATCTTTTAAATAATCAAATTGTAAATGTTTATGGTGACAATAATATTTCCAATTATCAAGTGATTTTTATTGATCATATACTAGCAATCCCTGAGTATGAAGATTAGGTGTTAGGTGTTTGTGCCACTTTATCTTCTTTTGGAGCACTAGGCTCCCATCCTTCTATAAAGCAGAACTTTATTCTTTTTAGCTTAATGCTGAAAACCGACATCTTGGAACTCCCAATAAGAAACAAGATACAAGACACCTATGTACTTTTCTTATACTTTGTGCCCTGTTCCTATAATAAGTTAGATAGTATAGCAAAGCACAAAAAAATAATATACCAAGTATTTGAAGCCAAGGTCTACTATACAAACAATAGATGAAGGATAACAAAAAAGTTAAAAACCAAAGTAATTTGCAAGTCTAGTGAAAAGAATAGTGAATTATCTAATCAAGACAAAATAGGCCATACATAAATCGTGGAATCCCTGGCAACTTTTCGATCTCACTAATGACAGATGATGTAACAACCAACTTTATGTACCTAGTTCAGTCGAAATAATTCTTAGATGAGGTAAGCAAGTACAGCAAAATCATGGATGCTATAAGAGTGCATCAGAAAAATGATTGACCAATTATTTAATGGAACATGGGGAAAACACGCAGAAATTATTTCTATGCACAGTTGTGGTCCAAAGCACATCCACTATCAGAAGACATGCCCATTTCATCAACCATAGTTCAAATCCTGCTAAGGCCGCCAACACAAAAACCAAGTTCATACTTTATAACATGATTCAAATGGAATTCAAACTCCACTTAAAGTTTTGCCTTTTTCAATAATATTTTTCAGATCAAAGCAGCATGGAGGCTGTAACACAAACAAAAGGGACCACCTTTTCAAGGATCAAAACTATAGTACGGAAACAACCATGCCATCAAAATGCTAAAGAGTGGTGAACTATTAACGAACCCGTGTCAAGCAAACATCATTTACATTTTACAACTTTCTAACAGAACAGAATCTAATACTTATTGTCTTCAACTGTTCATATCAAAGCACCACATATATTTGGAACTTAAAAAGAGGGGGGGGGGGGGGCGGGGGGAATGCAAACACCCTCTAAAATTCAATTTGGAGCTAAAAAGTTCCATGTTATTTGAATATAAAGTCAGATTTCTGGAAGCGTGAACTCAATACCAATTTGATGAGGACACAACGAGACATACCTCGCACTGGGAGCACGGCGGGGTACTTCTGGCTGAATTCAACGGGCAGCCCCAGGAATCCATGGAACCTATCGAACGTGACGTGCGCGACGTGCTGCACGTCCGTGGGCAACCCAATCTCCATCCCGCAGCCGCCGTGTTCGCCTTCGCCGCCGCCGCCGCCCACCGTCCTGCACCCGAGCAGCGACTTCCGCAGCAGTTCAAAGAGCAGCGCCAAGAACGACCACCGCTCCTCTTCCTCCTCCGCCGCCTCTTGCCCGCGCAGTTCAAGGAGTCGTCGGTTCCCTGCAGATCCCGCGGTGCGCTCCGGGCTGCCGCTTCCTGGGAGCACGTCGCTGTCGGCATTGGCTAAATAGCGCAGCGCTGAGGAGGAGGCGGAGGCGCGGCTTGCGGTGGAAGCGAGGTTGGTCGGGCCCCGGAGGAGCGCCACCTCCGTCTTTGCTTCCTCCTTTTCGAATTCTCACTGGAATTATGAGCTGTGATCTGGTGCGGTGTAGGACCGACCGATTTTGGGGGCGATTCAGGATGAGCTTTCTTGGGAATTTCGCTGGGGGTGGGGGGGGGGGGGCAAATGCACCAAGAAATGATTGGGATTCTCGGTGGAGTTCTTGGTGCGCCCCTATTTAGGATTTCTTGATGCTTGCTTTCTTCCGGAGATTGGAATTGTTGGGGCAGGATGGGACTGGAAGGGGAGGAGGATTGGTTGTGGTGGTGCGCGTGGTCCAAATCCACGAACTCAAATCGCAACAAAAAACAATTGCCGCGTCGAGAAATGGACAACAAAAGGGGATTTTTTTTAACTCCAGTAAGGAATCTTTAGGCAGAAAAAGACGCAACTTTTAGCAGGAGATGATGAACTCCCGTGGGCCGTTTGGTGGAGAATGGATAGGATTTTTGTGGAGGTGGAGTTGGATTGAAGGGAGGGCTTGAGCTGGAGCTGATGGCACCATCATTCGTCTAGCTCATGCGCATGCTCTCCTCGCTTCTCGTTCACGCGTGCGTTTCTTCACTGTTTAAGCTCATGCGCATGCGGATGCGGATGCTAGCCTTTTGTAACTGTCTCGAATTGCCTACGTCACCGGAAGTTTATGTGATGGATTAACTGTAAAATATATCATGGCTTTCAGAGTACTTGAGTGTTTTAACTGCTGTTAGGTGTTCTTGTCTCCTTTTGGACCCTACGGGTTTCCAGCTTCTGCCTTTTCCTTGTAACCACCCCCATTTTTATTTTCAGGTTTTGCAGTACACTGTTGTTATTATATATATTCGTCCTGTTCGTTTGAACTTATTCAGAACTGCTTTTCAGCCATGAAACATTATTTTTCTCTCACAACATTTCAGCATAAGCATCAGCATAAGTCAAATTTCATTATAAGCGAACATGCATATTATATATATAAAATAAACAAGAGGCTAACCGGGACTAGGAGGCGTAAATACTTCTACCAATATCATGAAGAAAATTTGTGCTCAAACTCAAACTAACGACTAAAGAAGAACCAAAATGAGGGTTCTCTCTTCCAAACGGTGTCAAAACTGTGAAGCGGAAGGTATTCATTGTAGTGTCCATTTTGTCTTTGTGGTTCATTTGCATCATACCAAAAGTCGTAATTTGGTCCATAAAAAAAGAAGTCGTAATTTGGTTCAACTAAAGAAAAATGTCCAATTTGGCAGCTACGGACAAAAGGTTAATGGTACAGCAAAAAATAGCTGATAAGAGTAATCAAATACCAGCTCCGTCATGTTTCAATTTGTACCAGAAACTTTTACTGATGTGTGTTAATTGACATGTCCTCAGAGTTGTCTACCATGAGGAACGCTGTACTATACCGGCAGAAACCTTTTGTCCCAGCGGCTCATCAACTTAATTACTACTATACTCCGTAAAGCTGGAAATGCATTTTTTGTTGTTGTTTTTCATCTGGACCATTATCCATTTGTTTGTGGTTTGTGCAAGGAGAAAGATGTCACATGCCATGCCATTCATCATCTTTCTTCAGGTGTCAGAGACAAGATCTGCTAGAGCATTACAGTAGACATGAATTGGAGTATAGGATTCCTCTGCTGATCACATGCGCCCTGTTCGTTTGGGTTGATTTGGCTTATAAGTCATGACTGAAAGTACTGTTGACTGGTTTGGTGTGAGAGAAAAATATTATTCGTTGGCTGATAAGCCATGGCTTATAAGTCAAATACGACCAAACGAACAGACTGACGATGGGCATGTGCTCTTTTTTGTCGGTACTCAGTATTGGGCTCACAAGTCAGAACTCAGAACTGCTAGCATATATCTGGAGGAATTTAAGACCTAACGTACAGCCAACAAGAGCTGATGAATTATTAAACTTTAGGTATGCCAAATTATTTGACTAATTAGGTGCCAGCTAATATAATTTAAGTCTCCATGCATTTAATCCTTGCCAAGGCAATACACATGCGTGTCAATTAAGCTGAAACAACATTCTGCCGTATCCTACCGTAGTAGGTAGTACTAGCTCCTTAGTAGGGCGGTTAGTGAGTAGTCAAGACTCCAGAGCGAAAAGATATGGCAGCGAGTGCTAGTACAGTAATGAAGAACTTGGTTATGATTAGTGGTGAAGTTAGAGCAAATTAGTAGAGAGAAAGGTGTGATTGTCTCATGGGTGTATGGACTTGGGCCATAGAGAATGCATGAATGATGAAATTTTGGACTTCATTACTAATTTATTTATATTTTGCAATGGAGGATTGGGGCATCTGCACCCACTTCTTCATATGTAGATTTGCTCCTAACCCTACTTATGATGGCCCATATATGATATATCTATATAAGACAACTTCACTTAGAACTATTTATTACGCATCATACATATATTAGTATATTTTTTGTATATATTTAATCAAACATAGAAGTTGAGCATTAGCGCCCACCCCGCCAGCCGCCACTACCATCAATGGAGCCAACTGGAGCGGGACGCTGAGCAATGACCTAGAGGAGGAGTTGGTGCTCTGGGTCTCCGCTGCCTCTCGCTGCTAGTGCTGTTGCCCGAGCTCATCGCCATGGAACTGAGGCGATGCAAGCTGAGAGGAGGAGAAGACTCCACATTGGTGGGATCGATGACCGGGTGACTAAATTATTTACTTTCTTCCATCCTACATTTTGTACAGCATCAAGTTAGTTTTATATTTAGGGGGCTTAAGCATTTCTACTCCTGTTTTGAAGCGAAATGGTGATTTTGCCCTCGTTTTTTTTAACTTTGTGATTTTACCCCTACGATTTTAAAACAAAGTGAGATTTTACCCCTATTCTGTCAAGTACACCTAACGGTGTTAACTTTTAGACCAAAGGACAACTTTGTCCATGTGTTTTTACCCCTGTTTTAGTTTGATATCTGTGTTTTTACCCCTATTTTCAGATCCACAATTTGGAATTTTGATACAGGGTTATACAATTCAATCAATGCAAAACCCAAATGGCCTCCAAATTGTTTGTTATTTTTGGACTCTCTGACTCAAGTTTATGAGACCACACCAAAATGCTGCATAGACCTAGAAACCACTTTCAAAACGGTTTTCATAGAGCCATAACCACTTTCATTTCAACACAATTTCACAATTGCAAAGCATAATTAGGAACAGAATCATGTTTGAGGCAAATTTAGTCTACAACAAATCTAATCAATTGTTCATCATCATATCATGTGCTGGCCTTCTTCTTCTTAGCTTCCTCTCTGTCAATCTCATCAAGCTACCGCCTTTGAGCTTCGGATCTTCGTAATAGTGTGTGAGAGCCTTGTGATTCATTTGTGTGGAGGCACTCATGGTGAAAAATAAGCATGTACCACTACCAACAAAATTTGAGTGGGGGCATGTGCCCTCACTCCATATAACCTAGGTCTGCCCACTACTGGAGGCGGCTTCTTTGCCGAGTGTCTCAAGCACTCGGCAAAGGCCGATATACACTCGGCAAAGGGCGTTCGGTAAACAGTTTATCGGCAAAGACCTCTTTGCCGAGTGCACTTTATCGGGCACTCGGCAAAAAAGTGGTCGTGGACGTGGCGAAGCGCCACTGCGACGTGGCGGCTTTGCCGAGTGTCTTGCCCGCAAAGACTCGCAAAAGGTCCTCGCTTTGTCGAAAGTGTCGTTGACTTTGACACTTTCGGCAAAGGTGGCAACTTTGCCGAAAGTGCCGCAGCAAGACACTCGGCAAAGACGTGATGTTTGCCGAGTGCTCGCCGTGGCACTCGGCAAATTGTGATGTTTGCCGAGTGCAATGGCTCGAGCACTTGGCAAAGCATATTCCCGTGCATGTTCTCGGTCGTCACTTTGCCGAAAGTGTCATGGCCATTGCACTCGCAAAGTGATTGAAAACAACCTTTTTATTTGTTTTTACATTCCATCCATCCAAATGGAAGATACATATAACCAACATCACATATATATCATCAACATCACAGATATCCAACACAACATATATATCACAAACGTCACATGTCTCACAATATATCACAAATAAGTTCACAGGTAATCCAAGTGCTCCATCATCTACAACCACAATTACAAATAGAAGTACCATTAACAACCACAAGTATCATCACCTAGCTTCCTCATCCCACCACCCACCACCTTTGTTCAATCACCTGCAATTAAAAAGAGTAAACCAATATGCACAGATAAACAAGAAGTACTTAGAAAGAGATGCAAAATAAACAAAACGTAATTACAAAATAACATAGTATTACATGGATTAGAAATAATCTTCATGATCGGGATTAGCTAGATCATAAGTCTCATCATCACTATCAATCACGTTGAAATAATCAACACTATCCGAATGAGCAATGTTGCCATTGTCATTGTCTAAATGTAATCGCTCAAGCATTTGTAAGTTCTTCACATTTTGCACCTCATCTCCAGCGTCCTCTTCAATAACCGTTTCATTATCTACTTTCATCCCGATCGCTTCGGTTAAGTCTATCTCAAACCTCCCTTCTAGTCCCTCTTCTTGAAAGAACTCTCCGGCATATGTGTTTGGGTCTAAGTTGTAATCTTCATCGTTTAGGACATGCACTTTACCGTGTGGCAATACCCTGTGCACAATATCCCAACCCTTAAGATGACTTTTGGTTTGACACGCATATGGGA